GAATCCACAAGAATGATTACCAGGCTGACTTAATTATTAAGTTGGTTTGGCAGATTTGCTTAATTTGAGTTGATGGCTGACTTAATTATTAAGTTGGTTTGGCAGATTTGCTTAGTTTGAGTTGACCCACTGACTTAATTATTAAGTTGGTTTGGCAGATTTGCTTGATTTGAGTTGAACCGCTGACTTAATTATTAAGTTGGTTTGGCAGATTTGCTTAATTTGAGTTGACCTCTTGTAAACGAGGCTGGGCCATCCTTGGTATAGCACACTGACAGAGCTTGCACATCTTTCTGAGAGTATTTGAACGGTTTTAACCTACTCTACTATACACGGCGCCATGAAAAAGTGCAGCTCATGTCTCAGCGTTCCATTCCGAATGCCTAAGACAGTTAGGCTCCTCCTCGTCTCTCTATTTGACTTTTTGATCACCCACCACGCTTGAAGTCGATGTTTTTCGCGACGACGAATTGAGTGACCAAACTATTTGAAGTAGCGACACTTTATGACGCCACTTCCATCGACCAACTAGATGTCACCTAGATGCGTCGGTTCACGGACTCCGTGGTATAAGGTGCACTCGGTTATGTATGCATGATTGTGGAGATTCTTATTCTTATATACCTAAGGCAAAGTTCCTAGTCCTGATGTGTCGATGTTTGGGACCCTTAACCGTAAGGTCGCGGCTGTAAGTGAAACTTAAACAGATTCTCGATGTGTCGTAATACGTCAGTTCATTGGAACCCGATTAATCAGACTGGTTCATAGTCACATCAAAAGGTATGGTCGTGATTGCCGAGTTCGTTAGACTCAAGATGCGCTTATTTTACATTAAACTTTAGCTAAAAACCTTTCATATATCCGCTGCCTGTGGACATGAAACTAAGAGGCAGGCTCCATCTTTCCGTTCTTATAGGACTCGCCAATGTTCAAATACAAACAACTCCTATTGAGCACTGGCTCATTGGAATTCTTTGAGTAACCTACAATTTTTCTTGCCCTATGT